TAGACTTGTGATGACCATCTCTCAATATATACAAGTATTTAATCATTATGTTACAGATGAAACTAATATAACATTATATGTCAATTATACCTCAATTAATTATTTTTTAAAAAGAAGTCTGTCTTTTCTAACTACAAACTACTACCAGACACACAAAAATAATCAACTCATTGCTATCAGCTACTAGGCCAAATATTAAGTTCATATGAGAATTAACTGAGGAACTTGTAAGAAATATAGGTTTCCATGTTTCATGCTTCACAGTGATTCTGATTTAGGGGGATTAGCACAAGGTCCAGGAATCTCTATTTTAAAAAGCACCAGTTTTTTCCTAATGCAGGCTATATTTAGATCATGCTTAGAAAAATAATGCTTTCCTCCCTGCAAAGCAGCAAACATATGTTTGTGTACACGTATATATTATATATTATACATATACACACATCTATTATATACATATTATATATACGTATATACATTATATATATATACTATATACGCATATAGAAACATATCATACAAAAATAATACCCATATTAAATGTTCTGCACACTTCTTACGGAAATGGGATCATACACATATATATATGTGTGTGTATATATATATATATATATATATATGACACGATTTTTTCAGGGAACATTATATTATATAATCTTTCTGAATCATCACATACAGATCTGCATTATTTTTAATAGCTACATGATATTTCACTATATGCATTACCATAATTTATCCAGGCCTCATTAATGGTCATTTAGCTTGCCTTTTTTTTTTTTTTTTGCTATTATAAGCAATGCTGCAATGAATACCTTCACACATTTATGCTAAAATATCTGTAGAATATAAAGAATGGAATAGACATAGAAGAGTAGGATTGCTAGGTCAGAGGGTATGTGCACTTTAAAATTTGATAGATCTTGCTGAATTGCTCACCAACTTAGTTACACTAATTGTCCTGCCAATTATCTTGGAGACTAATGTTTTCCCATGCATATATGATACTAGTATCAATCTTTTTCATCTTTTATCTATCTGGCAGCTAAAAAAATAAAATCTTAATTTGTTTTTTTATCATGTCTTTAATAGAATAACCAGCATTCAGTATACCACTGAAACACAATTATCTGAAGTTCTACAAAACATATCATAATTTACTTTTGGAAAACTTTTATTTTTACACTGAAACTTTATCACCTATAAACAGATGGGATGAATGAATTTCAAATATATGTCCACTATGTAGTATCTACTTAGTACCTCTTTTTACCAAGTAATATAAAAGGAAAGTGAGAGTCATAAGACGTGTGTTCAAGCCCTGGCTTTGCCACCCAGCAGCTAGGTGACTTTGGGCAAGTTGCCTGCCCCCAGAGCTTCAGTTTCCTCTTTTGTAAAATGGGGATTCTACTCATTTGATAGAATTGAAAATTAAATGAGATTATAATTTTCACTACATATTTTAGCTATGTATAACCACCACCACCACAGTAACAATGCACGGAAAATTAGCAAATGAATAGAATTGTTTGTAAAAGCCTTTCTTAATAATTACAAAATAATTATGTTGGTATTACCATAGATTCTATGAGGTGAGTCAACCATTTATTGGGATTACTAAAGTCACTACAAGAGTGTATATTTCATAGGGCTAACATACTGCTCACAAAATCACTGTTGTGGTTCTCTATGAATACTCTTCTAATAGTAGTTCAGAAAATATTTCCCAAATTACTTAGCTCCTTAGATAAAATGGAATTATCCAAATATACAATCAACTACACACCAGGAATTTCTCTTCAAGTTTCTAAGAGGATCTTGTTTCTAAGCACACACAGTAAAGCAATTCAAGTTATGTCACAGAGATTTCCTAGAGTAATATATTAATATATTGGAGATGCTATCCTTCATTCTTTCCCAAGACTAGTATCAACTGAACACACTCATTCCTTAAATGTCTCAATACCCACTGTGCAAAAAGTCCAATGCTAAGAACTAGGGGTATAAAATCTCTGCACTGAAAAGATAAAGACTCATATTAAAGATAAAAAGGCAAAGCATTGTTATCTAAATTTGCCTGTGCTTCTACTATGATAAATAATGTGTCAATGGCTCATGACCCATGGAGCTCATTTTCTTTTGAATGGACACCAATGGACCTATTACACTTCCTATCTCTGGGCCAGGTAAAACAAAGCCAGAAATGAGATGTCATTGCCCTATGGCTTACTCCCAAAAGTTCTCAATGGCTCAACTCACCTAAGTCTTCTGCCTTTACTTTCTTCCTCCACATCATGACTTTTGCAAAAATTTATGATGATTTTTTTAATGAGTAAAATGATCTGGACATTTTTTCAGTTTTTATTTCAATAAAACAAGAGGCAACACTGTTGTATAAAGTATTGCATATGGACATTTACACAAATACACAAAACTTCAAAAAACTAAACTCCAGTTTATTTCCATGGCCTTAAAAAGGTAGAGAGCACATAAAAATATGCAAAGTCATAGTTTATTCTTAGGAATGTAAACTCTAGGAATACAATTAGAAACAAGTATATTTACTATGAAAAGATGAGTATCACTACATGATTAGAAGATAAGAGGTACACAAAAAAACTCCACATAAGAGGAAGCAAAGGTATGCAAAATAAGATCTTGAGTTTACTAATAGAAACTTCATGTCAAGACACAGGTACTCTAGAAATCTACTATAAAAAAACACAAAAACATCTTCCAAAATGTTCACTGCTAGTCTCTTTAGATACGCACAAATTACAAAGTACAGAAGACAATGTATTTTTCTGATAAAGAATTTAACAAATTAAACAAATGTGAATAACTCAAAGTATTAAGTATAATTTTACTAAGCAACTAATCTAAAAGTATAAATTCATGCTAATTAAAGAAACAGAGTTTTTATTTTTCATCCAAAGATTGGGAATACACTATTTATTATACATTAATTTCTATCTACAATGCTAATTTATGTACCCATCAAATTATTCTTCTTTTTAATGGCTTTTTTAAAAATATTTTTTTCAGTCACATTATTTACCATAAAGATTCCTTGATGTGCTTCCCTTTAATAAAGTGTAAATTTATTGTGCCTATAAACTCAAATGTTAAACAGCCTTATTTTAAATATTTGTTTAAAACTATGTTTCAGAGTACTTTTTTTTCTCTATAATTTAAATGTAAAGGTTTTAACATTTTAATTTTATTCTTCCAAAATCGGCAAAACCCCCTAGAACTCAGATCATTTTTATCTATTTTGGTTTAAAAAATATATTTCCCTTTAATTCAACTTTTTGTTTTCATGTGAATAATGTTTGCTAAGCAGTTGCTTCATAATTGAAAAGGGCAATGAAATATTGCTTATTCAAAGCAAACTGTGTCATCATTTAAGAACTGAGGATTTATAACCTTCAAGTCTACAGACCTGCCTTAAAAAGTTCCATGGTGGTGTACAAGGGAATCTGGGGTGCTCACTTGTCCTGGGTCCTCTTGAAAAGTCTACTTTGTTTCTCTCCCCCACTTCATTCCAAAGGCAAATGCTGGGACCCAGCTTCATTAGAATACCTCAGGTAGTTGGGTATTTGAAGAGTGAGAGGTTGGGTAATTTCAAGAACCTCTAATGGCTTAAAATGTGGAATGGAACTACAATTTCTGTTCAGATCCTTTGAAGTATGGGGTACAAGGACCCATTTTGGGTAGAATCCTTCTTGTGGTAAAGGGTATTATTCTGGATATATAGGAGATCTGTGACCAAATGGCTACATCAGGATCTTCATGAGAAAACAACCTACAAACGTGACTCCAACTCAATCTGGAGAGATGAGTGGGAAGAGAGCAATAGGGATCATTTTAATTGCTACCAAAGTTAGCATTATCCAATATTTATAATTGCTATAAAAATTTTCAAATGTATAATCCTTATTTGAAACAGTATCAAAGGTCCTATAAATAATTTTACTGTTAACATAACTTCACACCCCAGAAAATCAACTGGTGCAAATTATTTGAAGCATAAATTCAGATCCACTCCACTGAGTAAGCCTTCAGAGTTTTTAGAAGAATATACACATGCAGATTTGTTGTGCATTGTATAAAAGGATGGTACCCCTTTCACACCTAAAATTGTAGGCATCCACAGCTCTGATTCCATTTATAGTTAACAAGAAAAATAGAAAATGTTATATTTTTATTGTAAAAATGAAAAATCATTAAAAATGTAGAATTAGAGGATCTAATAAGTGTTACAGACACTATTAAAAATTCATTAGCTGTTGGGGCACCTGGGTGGCTCAGTCGTTAAGCGTCTGCCTTCGGCTCAGGTCACGATCCCAAGGTCCTGGGATCGAGCCCCACATCGGGCTCCCTGCTCAGCAGGAAGCCTGCTTCTCCCTCTCCCACTCCCCCTGCTTATGTTCCCTCTCTCGCTGTGTCTCTCTCTGTCAAATAAATAAATAAAATCTTTAAAAAAAAAATTCATTAGCTGTTAAAAACAATGAAGATTATAATATTTATTATCTAACATATTTGATCTAGGGTTGTGAGACCACTGAGAATTCTAAATACTAGGTAAGTAATTTGTTTGTACTTTAATACTCTCTTCTCAAACTTTATTGTGCATAAAAATCACTTGAGGATCTTGTTAAAATGCAGGTTATGATTCAGTAGATCAAAGGTGGCTCTGAAGTTCTACATTTTTAACAAGATGCCTAGTGATGCCAATGCTATATACTGGTCCTCAGACTATAGGAGTAGCAATGATCTAGAATAATACCAAAATGAAGATCCATTATAGCAGTTGATGATTAAAATCTGATCTCTCATTTGTGTCAACTGTTTCCTCAAACTTTTTCTACAAGTTTCCTAAGCACCTTAACTTGCTTAAAACGCCAATCTTCTAAAGTAGTTCTTAAGACTATTAATACTGTTAGTAGCTACATGCCTAGGGGAAATTCTTCATTAAAGAATTACAAAAAGACAATAGGAAATTCACAGTGACATTTTAAAATATTTTAAATGTACACAGGATTCCTGTTAAATTAATACAATATCAACTTTCACTGTCTGGTTGTCTTTTTTTTTTTTCTACTACAATTTATGCCAATAGATCTTATTCCATTTCTATTACTGGAACTAAAAAACTCAAATTCACTTATATTAAAAACCATATTCTAGTCAGAGTTAATGAATGAAAACTAGTTCATGTTTTTTGAAGAATTAGATTTAAAATGGTAGCCAAAGCAGTTACAGTAAAAATTGCATTTATAGTGTATGCTTTAGCACTCCTCAGGACATACGAATTTCTCACATTTGAGCTCTGCATAAGCAGGCACAAAAGGAAAACTAGCATGTTCTGTGTGACCACAGCTAGGGACTGCAAATAAGGAAGCCACTGTGTAATAACAGTGAAAGAGACAAAGAGGGGACTGCTCCCTAGGCCTTCCTTCCCAGTCAACTTACTCTCATCCTCAGCCTTGCTTTCTCTCCCTCCCTCTGAATTAGTAGTTAAGTATGCTTGATTTACAGGGAACCTCAATAGCCAAAACAACTACCACTAGCAAACACCAAACTTTTACGTCTATCTAGAGGTCACGTAGTTCTCCATAGCTACAAACAAGTTTGTTTAGCTTCTGCCATATTGCCTTTTTCATTTTTATTTTTTGGTTGGGGGCAACTACATTGATTATTCTATCATTACAAGAATATTTAAATTAGGCCTGTTCACAAAAAAAATTGAACTTTTTTCACATTTTATAATTTTAAATTTAAGAATACAAACATAAATAACCTAAATTAGTTAATGTATAAATGTCCTTTGTCCATATTTCTCTATATTTTCTTTCATGACATTTTATAGATGAAAAATTTACCTAATATCCTTCATTTGCCGACAAACAATTCAGTATTATATGGTTGACACTGGTATCTTGAGAGCTGTGTTGCACAATTTACAATGATTTCCAGGAAGTCTTCAATGATGTGTGCTTTGAATTATAAGAAACCAAACTACCTAGGGTTTCCAAAGTCAAGCAGCAGGGTAAATGAGCTTCATAGCCTATTACATTTTAGGAACTGAAGGGGATTTTCACTTGCTAAATCCAGATCAAATACTTCAAAACAACACATCTACTAGCAATCTGATTTTTGATATAAAAATGTTCCAAAGATAACAACAGAAATTCCTCTACCCAGTCCCTGGAATTATAGAATAGTCTAGGTACTGAGTCAGAAGGCATTTTCCAGTGCTTTATATCAACAATTTCACTAATCTCAAGGATAATCTGATTACAAACATTTTTATCAGACACTTTTCATACACATCATTTTTGTTTTCTCACGTGCCTGTTTTTCAGACTGCCATGCTGCACGTCAGCTGGAGACTTCCCGGAGCGGCACCTCTGCCTCCTTCTTTCAGAAACAGTTCCCATACATGGAGATTCCCTTTGACTCTGAAGGCCAAACATACAACTACCAAAGTAGGAGTTATTAAAAAATAAGAACTCACAACCTCTCATGAGATGTAACCAATCTGATCAGACAACCTGCCAAAATGTATCGTTACACTGACAATCTTAGGGCAACAGAAACAAATAAGAAAGAAAAAAAGACTAAAATCAAGGGGGAAAATACACCCAAGAAATAACAAAACCATATTTCAACTTACTGCAACCTACATATTATTCCCTTCATAAAGTCAAGGTAGCCTTCAGAATTTAAGACATCAGGGCTCCTGTCTGGAATGGGGATGACAGACCCTGGGCACTGTCATAAAGAAGCAAAGTCATCTCTCTAGATTTGCTGGTTAGGTGAGAAAACTATTACAAATTAATCTGTGGACAGAGTAATGCTAATACTAGGAGGTCTCTGCTGACCTGATTGATGCTTCACTGGAAGTTCAGTCCTTTCAGAAACGTAAATAAGCTTTTCTTCTTGGAGACTACAAGCAGAAAACCTATTGGCATCTGTCCCAGGCCCACAGCCAACAGCAGATGATGGGTTATGTGGGACTGTGACACCACTGACTTGTTCAAAGGATTTACTGAACACAGTTGCGGCAGTCTTAGCCAAACCATGGCTACAAGGTTTAGGCAGAGATTGGCTGGTAGTTAATGTCAGTCTCTTCAAAGAGAGAAGCTCAAGATTCTCACTCTGGGCTCTTTGAGTTTGTTTTCGGGCAAAGTGATCTTTGCAAGACTCCCCTGTAGTTTCTTTTTCTTTTCCTCCAGTTTTGCTTCCTGCTGACCGTCTCTGAGTCTTTCCTACACTTGTCTTGTTACTAGAATTGTTACTACTGTTTGATAAACCCGACTGGCTGGTACTAGACGCAGCCCTGGAATAAAATCCCTCGTCAACTTCAGATATCTCCATCAGTTCTTCTTGACCTGTTAATTCCGCATTTCCTAAACAAAGAAATAATAAAGATTAATTAATATGAAGTATTTTAAATAATTCTTGTTTCATGGTTAATAGCAAATCAATGATACTTTAAACTTTAGCATAATTACATAAAGCAACTGATTATAGACCAAAATTAAAGGATAAATCAAAACATTCCATAAAACAGAAAAATAGTTCCTTGTAACTAAATAAGAGTAATTTAGAGTGTATTAAACAAAAAGCATGCCATAAACCAGCCCCCCCTGACTCGTGTTTTTAGAAAGAATTCTCTTACTATTCATGCAAAAGATCAGAAATAATTAGGAAAAATACCACACAGAAAAACTATGGGTAAACTCTCCCCCAGTAGCAAAGCAGTATAAAATCAAAGCTCTTACCAAGTAACTTTAAAAAAAAAATGATATTAAGATATTTTAAAGATTTTTTTTAAAGGTTGCATTCTACGTTCCAGATTATTTTACTTAGATTAAAAAAAAAAAAAAAGACCATAACACGAGCTCAAACTTGTTAAAATTCTATATACATTATCCTTTACATCAAAGATGGCAAAAATGCAAAGATAAAAAAATAATTTCAGATCTCAAAACATAAGCAGAAAATTATTTTGGAAGTAATTTTCTGCCTTAGTTTTCATAACAATTTACTCAGAGAAAATACAGGTATGACCATTCCAAAGAGCATTAGATCATTGAGAAATTGTGGTGCATAATTCATGCATTTTGATTATTAGATGACATGCAAAATTTTTGTGACTGTGCAACTGTTGCTTAAGACATGCAGCAGTGGCCCTTTGCCATGAGATACCTTGGAGGGCAGCTAGAAAGTGCTCTGCTAAAACTGCACTCTGCCAGGTGAGTTTATTCCATCCTCCATCATTTTTCTTACAGATTTTTGCCTCCTGATCTCTGGCAAGCCTTTGCTCTCAGTTCTAGGATCTGTGGCTGTTTCCTGCACACCCTGTATATGCTGAGCATCAATCTCTCCTAGTGTTCTGCCTTTTTCCCCATTCCCGGTTCTCTCTCCGGCCACATTTGTGACACTAATCTCAGGAATGACAAGGATGCCCAATTCAGTAGTATCATTACTGTTGTCAGGTTGCTCTAGAATTGAAGATGATAAGACAAAATGATGGCTGAAAACAAAACAAAACAAAAATGCAAAACAAGAGAAACCAAAGATCCAAAACAAAAACTGGATGACTGAATGTTATGAATTAAGCCAAATATCTGCACTGTAGTAATTTCCATAATTTACATCACTCTGACAGCACTGGAGACAGTAGGGTGGTGTTCTTTAATTTTAATGACAATGAAAAAACTCACAGAGCATCAATTCATGTTCTGCATGTTTTCACACACATATTTGACATGGACCATGAAACAGAAATTTTTTTACCAATCAAAATAGAATTTCTATTGTTTTTTAAGATAACACTGTGACCATTTGAACTTAGGTCAAGCCTTGGGCAAATGTTCCAGGATGTACAGCCAAAACTCTAGCTTTTGTCAACATCAGGAACCAAGACACTTAAGAATTTCCCTTGCACACTTAAAATTCTATTTTTTTATTAGATTACACTGAGGCTGACTTAATGAAGTATGATATTGGGAAAATGATTATTCACTCATAATATCACAGTTAGTGCTGCTGCAAGTACAGTTTTTGTCTCACACACCAATCATTGTGTGTATTAGTAAATATTAATGCAGCTGTGACACAATTAAATAGTCTATTCCTTCAGATTCATACTCATACCATAAATTTAGGCCAGCTTATAACAACAGTTCATTACTAAACTGGAGAAAAATAATAATGGACTTGGAAAAACAACTTGGCTGTTGGTCCTTTATTCTGAAAGCAGCTATTATAATCAAAACAAAGGAATGAAACTCCTAACTAGTTAATACTTATAGCTATTTTGTTCTGTATCTTAAATCACAAAGCATGGTTTTATTTAAAATTGACAAGGAAATATCTGTAATAATGGGAAAAATAACATGAATATATCTACCATGGGTCAATAATGAAAATTAAGGTTCAAAACAACATAAGACTATGTAAAACAGTATATATCTTAAAAAGTGTAGAACACAAATCTGCTTGAGAGACATTACCTACTATTTTCAAATGTTTCTCATGATAGGATTATAAAGCTCTCACTCATGGTGCTAAGCATGTGAATAGGTAGTAAAAGAAAGAGGCCAGAGCCACATACTCCTAAGGGCTTCCCAAGCTTTGCTACACATTGGTATCACCTGGGAATCTTTAAGAACTACTGATACCTGGCTCTCACCCTAGACATTCTGATTTAATTAGTATGAGGTATGACCTAGACATCGGGACTTTCAAAAGATTCCAGTGACTAATGTGCTGCAAAGTTTGGGAGCCACTGCTCTATTCGAATTCTTTCAAATTTTGAAAACTTTAATTAAAGCAAAAATTATGAATGCCCTGGGTCCTCCATACCCAGCAGCAATATGCACTTCAGGAAGCCCCCAAAGCTTCACGTTGCCCTGGGCTGGTGGGTCAATGTGCTAGTATAATAATTTCCCATTTACTTAGTGTTTCATAAACCTTTGGCTGAAGGTTCTTTAAATGAAACGTTTACTTCCTAAACAGGCCAAAGGATGTTGGTGAGGTAGTATCACCTCTAATAGAGGTTTAATGAGATTAAAAAGTTCCAAAAAGCCTATTTCCCCTTGCTAACAGCTATCTTCAAAGTGAGGGCAAGTAAATATCTAACTGAGATGAATGCCAGAGGCCACTGGAACTGAGAGTAAAATCACCATGGCATTGTTGGGTGACAAGCAAGACTTGTCCGTTTACCTCACAGAAGCAGTTTCACAAAAGATCTACTAAAGGGACCATCTAGTCCAAAAAAAATTATAAGCTGTGGAAATTATCCAGACATAACAAAGCCAATGAACATAAAAGATAAGCATAGGTGGCCTAATAGAATAGAAAACAACACTACTTACACTGAATGGTACTAAACAGTTTTTTTTAAAGCATTCGTATATATTCTTCAATTATATTCTCTGAAGTAGGCAATTTGACTCCCATTTACAGACAAGGAAACTGAAGTTCAGAAAGAGCTAACAACTATTCAGTGGATGGGCTAAACAGCAAAATCTTTTTACTTCAAATGTCCATTCTAACATATTACAGAGTCTAACTCTTCAATTCATAAAGTCCTTTGAGTTAAATATACTCTGACATCCTTCAATTAGGTTTAACTTGTTTGTTTAGATTCCTGGTCTTTTCATAGAAAGCAAATAATTTATTTTGGCTGAATAGAGAGAAAGAGCAGATAAAAGTCTCCAAGAAAACCTAAACAGGTCAATAACTCTCGAGGTTAGTTTTTTTACTTTTTTAAATTGGGTTTAGTTTTAAAAAGACACTAGTGAAAATTATTAATTTAAAATGGTGCTGCAATGATGAAAATTTTGCAAGAAAAACTAGAAAATGACAAGAGGAATAATATATAAAGCAGCACTAGACAATGGGATTTGCCAGTCACAGGTACTGGGATACTAGTCAAGATCTGCAGCCCCCAAAACAATGATATTAAATTTTTTTTTAATTATAAAAATAAATGGCGAGCAGAAAAATGAGATTATGTGTTTTTCCACAAGCACAATTTTTTTTTGAGATTTTTTTTTTTTATTTATTTGACAGAGAGAGAGACAGCGAGAGAGGGAACACAAGCAGGGGGAGTGGGAGAGGGAGAAGCAGGCTTCCTGCTGAGCAGGGAGCCCGATGCGGGGCTCGATCCCAGGGCCCTGGGATCATGACCTGAGCTGAAGGCAGATGCTTAACGACTGAGCCACCCAGGCGCCCCTCCACAAGAACAAATTTTTGACTAATTTATGTATGTTATCACTCTCAAAAATGGTAAAAATGGCAAATTTTTAAGCTATTAAGGTAAATTTATAAAAAGAAAAGCATGTGATTCTGTATAGAGCTAGAAAGAACAAATATAATTCTCAGGAAAATTACAGAATAAAGATAACTATATAACTCAAACATTTGTTACATGATCTTGGTCTCCTATTATTTCTCCAACTTCTTCCCCTATATGTGACCCAATCTTCCTACACACACCTTCTTACCAGTCTTACTATTCCCTAGGCCTGGTATACTCTTCCCCACATAGCTACCTACATGGCTCACCTCCTTACTTCTTTCAGGTTTTTTTTCCTCAAAAATTTCCTTCTCAGTGAAACCCTCTCTGATCATCCCATCAAGTTTCAATATCCTCCATATTTCATAAACTCTCTTCCCTACCTTATTTCTTCTTGGCTCTTAATCACTCTCTAAACTACAATTATTTCTCTATCTTGTCCACTAGACGTAAGTTCCACAAGGGCAGGGATTTTCTGGTCATTCTTGCATACCTAATACCTGAAAAAGTAGTTTGCATAGTAGGTGCCCAATAAAAATTTGTCTGATAAATTAAATGAATTTCCCGTTACATGGTAAAATTATTAAAATAAGTGAAGATGAGAAAACATGGAGAAGACATGAGAAAGGTAATCTGGGTATGTGTTACTTGACTAGGTAAAAAGGAAAAAAATAATATACAGTTTATGCTAATAATAATTTTTAGATGGCAGAGAAAATAAAGTCTCTTTGTTTTAGAAAAGCAAAGTAGCCACCTCTAAATGCAGGTTTGGTAAAATGCTTAATAATGCCCTATATATACATATATATATATATATATATATATATATATTTAAATCTACAGTTCTTTTATCATGCTATCCTCTGGATAACATAGCTAAGGAGAAAAAGTTAATCTTTCTTTAAGAAAATTATAGAGGAGATGTTGTAAGGGAATATAAATGTATAAGAAAATAGAATCTGTTCAAAAGCCTCGAACTTAATTAAATCTATGCAAAAGGTGTCATGGTTGTTCTATACCTATAAAAAACAATACTTACATTTGACTTCAAATAGTTCGAAAAGTTCAAAAAAGATCCAAAGAGAAACGTCTCAGAGA